ACCATATTGGCCAGGCTGGTCTTGAACTCCTGACCTCGTGATCCACCCGCCTCGGCCTCCCAAAGTGCTGAGATTATAGGCGCGAGGCAGATGATAGGGGATTTTATAGCAGCAAGCTGAAACTTGAAGTTTCTGGACCTTAGGATCTCCCACTCCATTAAAATATTTCATCAACCAAAATGCTTTTATATTACTGATGTAGAGCAATGTAGTATTGTATTTTGGGAGATAGAAGATTATTAAGAATGGGAGAGTTATTTCTGTGTAAATAAAACTCTATTTTGGTTATCTTTCATCCTTTCAAATTTTTGAAAGTAAAATTTTAATCAAATGCATGTGAGTTCCTTTTTTTTTTTTTTTCTTTTTTGAGATGGAGTCTTGTACCTCAGTCTCCCAAAGTACTGGGATTACAGGCGTGAGCCACCATGCCCAGCCCTGTGTGTTTTTCAAATTGATTTTTAATAGATTTTTCATGCCACACTCCTTCCTTCTTTCCTCTATTTTTTTTCTGTCTACTCGCACTTAAATTTCGGTTTTAAAATGCTCCTCCAATCTGATATTTAAATGTTTAAATAACAAGAGAAAGACATATCATTGTAATGTAATTCATAAGTAATATTCTTTTCTGATTATTTTTTCAGTATTTATTTGCTGGTCTAAACTTCGTGTTCTGACTATACTATAGAATTTTTTTTAATGTTTTTTGTTTGTTTTTTTGTTTTTTTGTTTGCTTGTTCATTTTTTTGATACGGAGTCTCGCTCTGTCACCCAGGCTGGAGTGCAGTGGTGTGATCCCGGCTCACTGCAACCTTCACCTCCCGGGTTTGAGCAATTCTTCTGCCTCAGCCTCCCAAGTAACTGGGACTACAGGCGCACGCCGCCACGCCCGGCTAATTCTTTTGTATTTTTAGTAGAGACAGGGTTTCACTGTGTTAGCCAGGATGGTCTCGATCTCCTGACCTCGTGATCCACCCGCCTTGGCTTCCCAAAGGTGGGATTACAGGCTTGAGCCACTGTGCCAGGCCTTTTTTTTCGAGACTGAGTCTCACTCTGTCACCCGGGCTGGAGTGCAGTAGCGCCATCTTGGCTTACTGCAACCTCTGCCTCCCGGGTTCAAGCAGTTCTCTGCCTCAGCCTACCTAGTAGCTGGGATTACAGGCACCTGCCATGCCCAGCTAATTTTTGTATTTTTAGTAGAGACAGGGTTTCACCATCTTGGCCAGGCTGGTCTTGAACTCCAGACCTTGTGATCCACCCGCCTTGGCCTCCCAAAGTGCTGGGATTACAGATGTGAGCCACTGCGCCTGGCCTGAAATGTTTTTATGATGGTATGCATCATTATAATTTTCAAACCCCTAGTAAGTAACCAACACTCATTTTGCCTAAACCCAAAATAGCAACGGAGGCCCTTTTAAGAATGACAAGTGGTAGGCCCTGGCCAAAGATAGCAAATCATTTTAGATCTTTCAGAAATAACAGGTGAACTTTTCAAAAGACATAGTAGATTGGACTCATGTCTACTTCCTGCTCTCCTAAAACCCCCATAAAATAACACTAAATGGGTTTTTAAAGGTGTAAACCCACAAAGATGAGAACAGTCTGAAAGACAATGGCAGCAAAAGTTGGGAAGTTGGAAAAAAGAACGAGCAGTAAATAACATGACAGAACCCCAAGCCAGCTGTGGGAAAGCCATAAGCCAACCTTGTACCATAGAACTTCCAAAAGTCTGGCAGCATCAGCACCTGTAGAAATGAGGTTGAAAGCATTACTAAACTTGGGAAGACTGGTTGAAATCTGTTTAAGAAGAATGCAGATACCCCAACCCCTACCCTATATCCCACAGCTGGGTAATTATTTTTCCCTACCCTGGCAAACATTGGAGGCTTACTCTGGAGAGGGAAATAGGGGCTCTGTGGACTGAGGAACAACAAATACAACTGAGGCAGCGGTCCCATAATGAAAACAGCATGGTGAAGTGACGTCAGTGTGCTGAGTGCTAAGATTCCCAGCCCTCTTATTTCACTGGTTACCGGAAAGCTAGCAATCGGGCCTTCACTCTCTAAGCAGGAAATCAGAGGATCTTTCTTTGGGGAAGCGGGTAAGTTTAAGAGAAGAGACCAATTTAAATGGCCCAGCCAAGATAATCCTCAGTGAGGGTAAACAGGCAACAGACTCCACTCATAAACTGAGAGCTTTTAATCAGCCATTCAGTCCCGTATCTGTAAATGTGATGGAACAACAAAGAATGTCAGATAACTAATAATCTAACAGACCTGAACTCTTGAAAGATAAAGACTAAAGCAAACACAAGAAGGTGACATGGAGGACCAGACTACACAGGGCAAGGTCTGCTTCTAGAATTCCTAATAGTACATGGGGGTTCATTAACCTTTTTCTCTCCTCTTGCAAATGTTTAAAAATTTCCATTATAATTTTAAAAACGTATTATAAACATAAGATATTGTAACAATAAAACAATAATAGCATACTATAAAAAAGAAACACTCAGAACAATAAGAGCTCTTAAAAATTAAGAAGACCTGAGTGTGAGCAATTTATTAATTTATAAAAAGAAAAAAAGTGGAAAAGCAAAATAAAAATAAAATACAATAAAGGAAATTAAAATGCCATAAAACATTTAGAAGTTAAATAAGAAATCTCCCAGAAAGGAGGTCAGAAAGATAAGAGATGGAAGAAAATGATTTTTAACCTCGAATCCTATATCTAACCAAACTATCAACCAAGTTTGAGGACAGAAAAAAGACATTGACAGACATCCAAGATTTCAAGTGCTCTTTCTCAAGAAACTGCTAAAGGATGTCCTCATCAAAAGTAATCAGTGAAGGAGGAAGACATGAGGTATAGTTAACATTCTGTTCGATTTAGGAGTGCAGGGACTCAACCAGGACAATAGTGAAGGGACCTCCTAATGTGAGACTACAGGCAGCATCTGGGTGAAATTTCTTTAGGAAAGTGAAATTGAAAGGATGTCTGATGCAAGGGGATTGCTTAGGAGAAAGATTTAGACCACAGGTCTGCCTGCCCACTGCCTGTTTTTTAAATAAAATTTTATTTGAACACAGTTACTGTGTATTGTTTATACATTGTCTCTGGCTGCTTTCATACTACAAAGACAGAATTGAGTAGTTGTGACAGAGATAGTATAGCTTGTGTCAACTTTAAATAAGATTCAGGAAATATGTCAAATGTAGAGATTATTAGAGCACAAAGCTTGAGGACAGCCACCCAGGAAGCACAGATTCCAAAAATTGGAAGTCAGTATTCCAAAGTGTAGAAGTTTGGGGTTGTTTATATAGACAAGGTTTAGGGAAGCTTAACAAAATTTCAACACCTTTCTACATAAGGTTTAATGCATAGTTACAGTGATCTGATTGGGCAAGGTGGTCTTTTTCTTTCTGGAAAGGTATATTTAGCATTCCACACCGAAGGTGTCACCATCATGAGGTCTTTTGTACCATCTGGTCTGAGTTAGGTACAGGACAATAAAGGAGGTGGTTAATCTATAACAAAGGTCAGAGATTAGAAGGGCAGGAGGTCTGATCTTTGGTGTCTCCTAGTCATTTACAGAACAAGAACAATGAGGAGGAGAATTAATCTATAAGAAGCAGAAGTTGCAACTACATGCTACGTGACTCAGATCAAGGTCACATCTCTCTCAAGATTTAAAGTGTTTGGGGGATTCCAATAGCTTTTAAATTTTATTTATTTTCATACCTGCAAAGCGTAGAATATTTTCTGTTTGGCCCTTTAAAAAAAAACGTATAAACCTGATTTAGAGCATTGATTATAGACAATTGCCTGAGAGCTTATGGTTGAATTTGTTACATGTACATGGAAAATTAAGCAAAATGAAAAATGATACATAATTGCTCAATCCAGGGAAAATAAAAAATTGGTAAAGAAAGGAAAAGTAGCCATGATTTACTCTGTGACTTAGCAATGAATATATTTACATGATTATATTAATATAAATGCCTAATATTGAGCTAACTGAAATTACTCTACAACTGTATTGGGAAGATGGGAAGAATGTGCATATGTTATGGGAATAGGAAGAGGAAAGAACTTCATCCTCATCTTCCATAGTGGGAAGTCAGTAGAGAAGGCCTAGAAAAGAAGAAGCATGGTGATAAATACCAAGATAATCAGCTGAAAAAGGCGATAATCAATTCTGGGGAGGGCAGAAATGAAGGGAAGAGGGACAGGACTCCCATTTTTTCATACAAATATGTTTTTTGCTGACTTTTTAAACTGTGTGCCTTTATACCTTTGACAAAGGGGACAAAATAAAATCCCCCACTAAACTGGAAAACAAAAAATAAAACTATTTTTCAAGGTCAGCAAATACGTAGTCCTCATGCTGCCTGTCCCCTCTCAGTCCATGGGTATCATGAATCACAATAGTGTTTCCTGGTGAGTTAGGACATGGTCTCAGGTCTTGAGAATACTGTTCCAGTAGCCACTCCCAACCAGTAAAAGTTACCCCATTCATGAAAGCAATTTCTCTGATACTACTAATATTACCAATTTGGGCTGAGTCTCTGTGCTTCTCAGACTTTCCCACCAAAAGAACATTGCCTGACATTTAACTAAATGACTGAACATCCTGATTTAACTGCATTTTAAAACTTCGTCTGTTCTAAATACCATTTCTACTTAAACCCACAAACATGGGAGACATAGTTATTCTCTGTAGTTATTCGTAGATATAATGTAATTTAATAGTATGTTTTCAGCATCTAACACTGGACCTAACATAGTAGGCTAGTAAATGTTTGAATGAATGCATAAATGAACTCTGTTGTATAGTCAACAATTTTTAATAACCAAGATACCTAAAAAGCTGAAGAAACCAACCCTTGCTAAAGCAGAAGATGATAACACAATTTTATTCAGCTTTTCATCATAAGTTGTGGTTCTGAATAATTTTGACTTCTGAATTAAAGTAGTTTTTGTTCTTTTCTTCTAACCCTTAAAAGGATCTTTCCAATTAAAGATGTACCCCTGGAAACTGATGACCTTACCACTTGGCTCTATCAACGGTTTGTTGAAAAAGAAGACCTCTTATCACATTTTTATGAAACAGGTACACAGTAACCTTTAAATAGTTGCTAAATTATAGCAACAATAATGGAAGCCTCTCTTAAAGAAAGCTGTTTGCATATTAGATCTTGAAACTTGAAAATGCACTCCGTAAATTGCTTGTGAGAAGCAAATCCCCTCATGAATCAGCTTACCCTGAGGATTATCAGTAAGGACAAAGACTATTTGAAATGCTGAAGAGTGTTATCACGATGACCTTAGGTAATATTGCTCTATGAAGTGATCTAGCATTCCTTTCCAGAAACGAATTTAAAGACATCTGTTTACTTTGTATTTCTTTTATTATTAAGATATATTTCATAAAGCATATTGCCTTTTGAAAATAATGTCAGTGTTATACAACTACTTTTTTGACAAAAAACAATTTGTAAATAGAGGAATCAGCATAAAGTATGCTATTTCAGAAATTATTTCATATCAATCTCACATAATCCTGGGTCCTGACCCCTGTGGGAATCTCTAGGGATCCAGCAGAGACAAGGTAGCTAGAGTGCCTGTTCTCATGCAGATTATATTCCAGTGGGAGACGTGGCAAACACGTCTGCAGAAAGAAAGAGAATCGGGATCATGACCAATTGGGAAAAGTTCCAGGAAGGAAATAAACAGAGATGGGAAGGGGAGTATTTTTTCTGATATGGAAAGGATGCACATGAGCCAGCTATTCACTAAGTGGAGGCGGAGAGTGGAGAGCATTGCAGGCAGAGAAAAAGCGGAGGCTCAGATGCAAGAAGGGGCTAGGTAGTATGGAAATTATATTTCAAGTAAAATCTCTCCTCTGGGGCCCTGGAAAGTCACTGAAGTGCTTTAACACACACATGTACAACTCTAGTTAAGCTAATATTCAACTTTTATTCCAGGAGACCTACCGCTACAGAGTAAAACAAGCTAATATTTCTATCTTGTCTTTTAGGAGCTTTTCCACCTTCCAAGGGCCATAAGGAAGCTGTTTCCAGGGAGATGACCCTCAGCAACATGTGGATATTTCTCATACAGTCTTTTGCATTTTTGTCAGGCTATATGTGGTACAACATCATTCAGTATTTTTACCATTGCCTGTTTTAGGAATTGACGTGGACTTGTCAAGGTCACCATAGGAGTTGAGACTTTCTTTCATAAGTGTGCATTATTTTACATGTGCAAATCAGAATATATTTAAAAAAAAAAAAAAAAGCAAAAGAAATTCAATGGATGGATTAGTATTTATCCCCCTTTGGGATATTTTAAAACTCTACTAAAATGAGGATTAGTAATATAATGACCTGCTAATATATTTTAAGAACATGTTTTAAAAAGATACACTCTATCACATATTTAAGCAAACATCACATTTGGAGAAGAGGAAATCATAAAATCATCCTAGAAGACTATCAGAGAAATTCTGTTGCCACCAGTTACACTTGACAATTTAGTTGAAGCCCAGAAAGGTATATTCATCCCTCTTACCTGTAGTCTATATTAGGGCAGTACTCTAGAACGCCCACATTTCCACCAACTCAGTAACCTTGAGGGGAGCTGGTTGGCACCTCGCGAAGAACTCTTTCCCTGTCATTTGCAGTAACAAACTCCAGTCTTCAACAGCTAACTGAGGTACATTGTTGACATTCTCTGGGGGAAAAGCAGTGTCCACTGGACCCCTTCTGGTACTGGATGTGTTCTTTACAAAGGCTAGCTCGATCCAACACTGTGTTTACATGCACTCGTGCTTTTCCTTATCTGATTTCTCATTTTGTATCAGAGGCATATCATAAATTGGTAATTTTACAAAATGGACTTTTTTGAGATGCAGATATAGCAAAGAATTAGTAATACAGCCTGAAAACAAATGGGAGCATAGCAGTGTGTGAGGTTCTCGAGAACTGTCTTGTCTCTGTGTGTTTATTTGCCTGCCGATGCTCTCCAGCACCATCCTGCCTTGGACAGCACCCTGACGTGATGCCTCTGTTGCAGCTCAGAGGCTTTATTTTTTCCATTTTGACATTGGCACTAAATGCATTTGGGGATGGTTGGAACAAATTAATATAGAACATTTAAATGATCAGTTTAAGGGGAAATAGGCTAGTTTATAGAAAAATAAGAGCTAGTGGCTTATAATGGTGACAGGTTCTCCTGTGGCACCCCAAGGACCTGTGCAGACAGTGGTCTGTTGAATCATCACATCAAGGAGGCTGCCCCTGTCAGGGTGAGTGTAATTAGGAAAGAGACCAGCACAAAAGGCTCCCCCAATCTCTTCCAGTTGCTTTTTCTTTTCTTTTTCTTTTTTTTTTAAGACAGAGTCTTACTCTGTCGCCCAGCCTGTAGTGCAGTGGCATGATCTCAGCTCACTGCAGTCTCTGCCTCCCGGGTTCGAGCGATTCTCCTGCCTTAGCCTCCCGAGTGGCTGGGACTACAGACACCCACCATCGTGCCCTGCTAATTTTTGAACTTTTAGTAGAGACGGGGTTTCACCGTGTTGGCCAGGCTGACCTCAAACTCCTGATCTCAGGTGATCCGCCTGCCTCGGCCTCCCAAAATGCTAGGATTACAGGCGTGAGCCACTGCACCCAGCCTCCAGTTGCTTTTGAAGGTAAAGTCAAGTTTCTATTTCTAGAAAACATTTTTTAGAAATACGTTGCTATGTTTGTACAATTTACCTCATAAGAGAACCACACCCTTCTCCAAAAGTGCTGGTACTGCATCAGTGAGATGAGTAGGGTTTTTGTTTGGGATTGTAAGACTATTAAGATCCTAGTAAGTCAGTGGTAGTTTACTGTGATATGAGCGTTGTAGATTCCCCCGTTGTCACTAATCACACAGATAACAATTTTGAGAAGTAGGCTATTAAACAAAAAAAGGTTAATGTTTTCTATTTTTAAATAAACCAAAAACACAGAGAAGATATGAGTTTTCCCCAGTTATGTGGGAAAGGTAAAGCAACACCAAATAAAAGCCCAGAGCAGCTTCATATTTAGGATAGCTCAGTGCGTATGTGAAAGAGAATGATGCATTAACTGAAATACCTCATTGAATATTATACTACCACTGGTAAAATGCAGAAGACAGTGTTAATGTGTTTGGTTTGGGGACTGGTTGTTATAAAATGCAATTTTTTTGAAATCTAAGCATTTCATTATGTGTTCTACAGTGACAGTGAATAAGTGAAACCAATCTCAATTTAGAGGTATGGATGATGACAGAAAGCCCAGTAGAAGCTTAATGATGCTTCTGTTTGAGGCCCAGCAAGCACCACTAAATTACTGGATGAAATGAAATTGTTCACTTGAGGGATTAGTCAACCATCTGGGGGAGAAGTTGCTCACTGTCAAAGACAGCGTGCACAGTCCTAGCTGACAGACCTTTTCCTCATTGCTACAGCAAGCCACAGGGTAGAGTGACCAGTTCTCCTATCCAAAAATAAATGCGAACATGCATACATAAATGTGGCTGAGGGCCACTTTTGACATCACTGTGCTCCAAAGGAACATGATATTGTTAAATATACTGTACACATTAAACTATCCTATAAGATGCTTTACTTTTCAAGTGCAGTATCATTTTCACAGTCTCCAGGGTGGCAAATACCAATAGATATGTGAGTTAATTTTTGAAAATATTTTTGTGAGTTGTAAATAGATGTGTATTTGATGTGCCCTATCCCTCTTTGGTTATTTAACATGTTCTCTCTCTTCTGTTTGCAAAATATGTTTGAAAGCATTGGTAGTGCTTTCCTTATCAGTAACTGGAGTTCTTCTGCTTGCACTAGAGAAGGTAAAGAGAGAATCAGTGTTCTTATATGGCAATTTGGGGAAGCAGCAATATGCCACTGTACAAAACTGAAGAAAAATTCCTAATTTGTACTTTGTGAAGGGAGATGAAAGGACGTTTAAAGTGTATATATTTTGTCAAGAGGAAAAAAAATAAAACTATGCCAGTTTTATATCAGTAGCTTGTAGAAGCTCAGCTCTTCTTGGTCTTGGCTAGACTGCCTAGATTCCCAGGGCAGACAAGGTTGAGAATCCATTACTGGAATCTTGGTACTGATGAGTTACAGTGATTAGAGATCTGCATGACCACAGGCAGGTCCAGTCACTACAAAAGTGACCAAGCCAGCAGGTCACCCTTAACTTCAGAAACAATTATTGGTGGTGAACTATACTTAAATGGCAGAGAGACCTATAAGTAATGGAAAGTAAAGAAAAATTACAGAACGGAAAATAATGTGTTGGGTAAGCAAACAAATTCACTGAGAATTCCAAAAGTATATTAAAAAAGAAGATAGCTGTGAGTTCAGATCTATCATATTAGTCTTTAATATTACAACCAATCCTTAACTTTCCACTGTAAAGGAAGGATTACTAGATTAATTAATTTCTGGATAGATAATCTGGTAATAAATGATAGGTAAATCAAAAATTACTTTTATTTAGGAGTTTGAATTCTTATTCTCATCAGACTCATTTTTTTTTCTAGGGATGCTTACTAATTAAATGGTTTAAGTTGTTTCTTAGGGTTTTTTTGCCTATATATTTATGACTGTGTTAATGAGTAGTGAAATTATATGGAAAGACAAACAGCTATCAGGAAGAGTAAATACAGAAGCCTGAATAATCTATGGGTTAGAAAAGCATCCCTGAATAATCAATAGTTGACAGTATTGGCATTGTTCTCAAGCCTTTTTATGAAAATGAAATCTGAAATCACCAAATGTAAACCTGGGAGCATTATTCGAGCATTACTGTCTTGGATTCATGTTAAGAATGCCTCTTCATTCTTTGCTCATGTTGCTCACTTCTTGTGGATTTGTCTGAGTGTTTTTTGACAATCACTTCCCTAAAGACTCTTCTGAACTAGTTGGACCTGGCTAATCATACAGAGTAGCCTTTAATCATGGATAGTCTTCTTGGATTATTTTTATATTTGAAAAGAAAATGTTTTATTTGCACTACTGAGTAGGAAGAGTTAATTGTTTTTTTGTTCTTTTTTTGAAGTCATTACACAGGACTTTACTTCAGAGTTACCATTATGAGTGTGTTCAGCTCTGGTACACAGAGGATGGATAAAAATGGTTTGTTAGGTTCTTTTGCTCTGCAGTGCTATGAGCCTTGTATCTGTTAACATGAAGAACAAAGTCAAAAGCAGCAGTGGGCAGCAGGAAGGGTAGAGACTAATATGTTTGGGACCAAAACCATCTAAGTTAGAGATTTCCAGATCACAGAGGGGCTGGGTATTCTCTGGAGCAGTCATTGGTTGGTGCTTTATTGTGATCATTTTGCACCACTCCCCAACAATTAGGAACTGGACCCTGGGAATAAGCTGAGGGTGCTGAACTGTTGGGGAAGGGTGACTGTAGCCATATGGAAGATAAAATATGGGTTTTTCTGCAAAATTTCCATCTGAGGGTTTTTACATTTAATATTTTTTTAAGACAGTTTAAAGAGCAAACGTTTTTTAAGTGTATTCTAGTTGCAAAGTATGCACACATATCTTGAATGGCTTTATTTTTATTGTGTAAAACTGTTGAACACATGACTGTGATGCACACATTCTTTACGTATAAGGAGTCTATGCATTTTACAGTAACTTATTTTATGATTGAGTGATGAAACAGTTATACATTCAACTGCCATTATTTTTATTAAGTGCTTTCATTTTCTTTACAGTTATTACAAAATTGTATTTATTTTATACAGATGGGTTTTCATTTTCCTGATGCTGTAATGTTTACTTCAGCTTGTTGACCTTTCTTTGTGTTATCTGCATGTTGTAACGTGTGATAAGAATGAATGTAAAGGCTGTGGCAACTGTAATTAATTTTTGTAAAGGGCTGGTCACACGTGGATCTGGTTTATGAATGCATTTGGGGTGATTTTAGTAACCAGATCACCTTTTCAGAAGTTTAGACATGAACACCAAAAGAAGCGTTTTCTCAACAAAAATTAATAGCTGGTTCTATTTTTTTTAAACCTAGAAAAAATAAAGTTGATTTTTTTCAAGTAAAGTGCTTTTAATTCTTAGTAGTGGGGAGAGTGCATGTGTGTTTTACCAGAGCTATTTGGGCATTAACATCTGCAGGCAGGTACTTAAAGCTCACTGTGGCAGTTGGATGCTGAAAGCAAACTGAAAAACCAAATGAAAAAACATCAGACTTCCTTCTTTGGTTTAAAAATATTTCCCCCTTTCTCCCCATTCTCCCAATCCAGTGGTGTGCTGGTAAATGTTTAGCAGTCCACTCTTCTGGGAAGAAATTATGTATTCAGCTGTACATGTTTGTTATAAATTTCGCTGATAGCAAGAACATACAACACAATTAACAAATAATAAGATATAAATACTTTATTGTAAATCCCATATAGCCAATTGATTCTCACAGTATACTTGAGATATATATGTCTCAAGTATACTGTGTATATATATGATTCAATTTTAATAACCAGTGCTTAACAACTGCAGGCAAAATTCTAAAATGTAACCATTGGCTCTTGGGAGCCAGTAGGGGCTGTATCCAGCTCAGGAAAGAACTAAAATGCTTTTTTTAAAGGATGCTTAATTGCTTTTTGCTGAACTACTACAGTCAACCTATGATTGATTGTATTTCAACCATGATTTGAAAAACAGCAGACCGTCCTAATCTAACTCATTTTCCAATGAATTTATTGTCATTCAATCTGATACGTGCTCTACTGTTAAAACTGTTTCTTACCATAGTACATATTAGACTTATTAAGCCGAAACCACTTTTAGCTTTAACATTGGTTGTAAATTTATATGATTCAATTTTAATAACCAATGCTTAACAACTGCAGGCAAAATTCTAAAATGTAACCATTGGCTCTTGGGAGCCAGTAGGGGCTGTATCCAGCACACCACTGCCCCATCCTTTTTTTCTTAACTATTAGTGTTGAATAAACTTCTCATAGTTATGTACTTGCTGAACTCAGGAAATTCCTATCACTGACCCTGGCAAGGGCTTTAAAGGGTAGGAAAAGCATTAATGTCAGTCCTACACAGCGAACTTTTGATTTTGAAGAATGTGATAGAAAGAAAATGTTTACTGAAATACATGGGAAGCTTGCATATTTCTAAAGTCAGCTTTATACTTTCATTTCTCAAAGCTAAGTAAACTGTGGTATAGGCATCTCTAAGATGTTAGCATTTAAAACATCAATTGTTTAGGTATTTGTAGACCTTATTTGATCCCACTGAAAATTTTAAATATTAAAATATCTTGCACAGTCTACCAAATGAGTTAAATCGTTATAGTTGTGTCTACCTCTTATTTTTCTATCTGTATTTAGGCTGCTGTTTTGGTGAGATTCTAATTTCTTTTTCCCCTGGAACTACTTTCTGTGGAAGACAAGGAACAGACTGGGGACAGAGGCCTGAAAACAAATTGGAGGCACTCAGAGATGTTGCTGACCAGCCCTATTCCTCATGAGTTGGCGGAGGGGGAAGCCATTGTTTTTAATTTCCACTTAATATGAAAATGCTTGTTTTTAAAATGTTTTTTCCTGCTGAACAACTGTATTTTTAAAAGGAAAAAAATTCTCTTTTGGCTCTAAGAAGTCAGCTGTATGAGCAGGCGTGACCATATCATAACATGCTGATATGATAGAAATCAATAAATTTTTACCTCTCAGGATCTGGGTAACCTTGTTCTTAACTCTTAGAGGCTTGAGTAACATAAACCAAGTCTCAACAGTTCAGATCACATAGAAACAGGCACACACATGGAACGTGGGAGGAGGGTTGGCTAACCGCTGGAAATGAGATGGGCCCCTTTCATAATCAGAAAAGCACTCTCTAGTAGGTACAAAGGAAGAAACTGGAACAATGTTTTCTACTGGTGAGCAGGGAGCATATCACAGAGCTCATTTCTGAGTTTTTGCCTGGAAAGATTTTAGTGCCCCACTCTGGAATACTTTTTGCCTTTTGGGTGTGGGAGCACTGGAGATGGAGATGGTAAAGTTCTCACTGTTCAGTTACCCAAGGCAAGAGAACACTCAGCCATTCTTTGATTGTAGCAGCTGTCTGTGTGGTGTCATTGAAAAAACCTGGCACTAGGATACTTCCCTTAAAATATCAGTGGTTGCATCTTTATTCCTTTGTTTCATTTTTGATGGAAAAACTCCCTGAAAGGGGTCTTACCTTCAGTTTCTTACCAGTGGACACTGTATCAGGACCAGCTGATGGACATTTGAGGGAAACGCAAATAGGTACCTAGAAGTGGAGAGATCAGAAGAACTTGGAGTGCTAGGAAGAGGAAGCCAGGAGTGTTAGAGGACAAAAGGAAGACCAGAGGCTGCTGTCCACAAACAGGTACACACATCCTTGATACACAAAGACTTCCAAGGAAGAAATCAACTTCCATTAGAACTCTGACCTAAGATTGCCTTCCCTGGGAACTCACCTGTAAAAGATCCCACCTCCCATTTCAGATAACTGCCCACTTTACAGAGGAAAGGCAAAGGCATACCTTAGCCAGTAGGGATGCCCCTCCAGGGTAACAAACAAAGGGACAATTCAAAATATTGATGACACAGAAGCTTCTTTCAATCAAGGAATCTTAGCCCACAATCAGGCTTTTTGTCTTTCTCTGATTTATGCATGTTTCAGTAAGGACAAAGGATGGCATCAGAAATGGTGCATTTGGGCCTGCATTGGCTGTATTGAATTCTGATATATTTAGTGTGGGACAGTGACAGCAATGGCAGCTCAGGACTCAGAGAAGTAGAAGGTACCAAGACTTCTTATGGCGTAGGTTCAAAACTGGCACAGAGTCACTTTTGGTGCTACATTCCTTTAGTTAATATGTCACAGAGCCAGTCCGGATTCAATATGGGAAGGTCTATAAATGGATAGAATACTATCGAATACTGAGAGGCATGTTTCATTGGGAGCTGTCTTTGAAGATCAGCTACCACAGTTTAAAAAAAAAAAAAATCCTAAACTATTTGAATAAAGAACACTAGATGGGTCTAAAAGAGTTCTTGCCCTTTGGCAGGCTTGCCCATAATTTCCATTAGTTAGAAATATTTTGAGTTCCCAAATACTTTAAGAGGATTAGATTTGTTGATCCATCCCTCATACATATAAGTCACATTAATCAAATGGACACCTAGCTAAAAGAATAGAGGTTTTGTTTGGACATAATCTTTATATTATTTTTGGCACCGATTGATGCATGACTCATTGGCCCTTAGAATTTCAGAGCAAGTAGTCACCTTGTTTTGGGTTGCAGATTTCATTCTGATACAATTTTGGTACATTGCTGGTAGCATCAAATGGCTACTTAGTAAAATTGTGGGGACTAGAACCAGCTTTCTTTTATTTGCATTCATATATTTTCCCTAAAATGGCATATTGCTTTGGTTCAGATTTATGTATTTCATAAATAAGAGTTAAATCTAAAGGAACAAGTATACTTGTTAAAAGGGTGATGGATCTAGAAGCTAAAGCTTCCATAACATCCTTATCCTCAATTTTAATAATCCCAAAACCCCAAAAGATAATTTTTATTAATATTCCTCTCAGCCGCTGCAGAGATACAATTAACCATGAAAAAAGTCCAGAAATTAATTATTTTTATTTTTTTGGATGTGGAAGTGAAGTGCATTTAAAAACTTTTGCCCTATATAGTAGAAGATAAAAAGAACATTTTTATGTTAGACCAAAGGGGATACAGATTTCAATCTCATAATAGTTTCTTTCTTTTCTGAATTCTAGGTGTGAAACTAGAATGCGTAATAAGTTCTAGGCCACGATTGCCACTAGTGCCAAAATATCCCTCTGTCATGGTGCCATCAAGTTTTAAGGGCTTGTCCAAGTAGGAGCCCAAGAGCAGCAGAACCAGGGACTTGAATTCGACCTTGGCCCTTTGGCAAGTTTCTTATCCTCTCAACCTCACTCTCCTTATGTGTTAAATGGGAAACGCTCGAAGACTTCTTTTCTTTCCTTCCTTCCTTCCCTCCTTCCTTCCTTCCTCCCTCCCTCCCTCCCTCCCTTCCTCCCTCCTTCCCTCCTTCCTTCCTTCCTTCCTTCCTTTTCTTTTCTTTCTTTCTCTCGCTCTATAGCCCAGGCTGGAGTGCAGCTGCACAATCTTGGTTCACTGCAACCTCCGCCTCCCGGGTCCTGGTTCAAGCAATTCTCCTGCTTCAGCCTCCCAAGTAGCTGGGACTACAGGTGCGCACCACCATGACTGGCTAATTTTTATATTTTTCGTAGAGATGGGGTTTCACCATGTTGGCCAGGCTGGTCTTGAACTCCTGACCTCGTGATCCACCCACCTCGGCCTCCCAAAGTGCTGGGATTACAGGCGTGAGCCACCGTGCCCAGCCAAGACTTATTTTCAGTATTAAGTGAGATTGTATACAGGAAGCACATAAGACACTGGCACATTATACCGAATGTGCAGTAAGAAAACTGTTTTTATCCCACCCCAACTGGGTTTAACAGAGGTTGTAAATTATTCTCATATTGAGATGTGCCTAAACTCCAAGTGATGTGTTCCATGCATACCCAATGCAGTGGTTCGTGCCTATAACCCCAGCACTTTGGGAGGCCAAGGCAGGAGGATCACTTGAGCCCAGGAGTTTGACACCCGGCTGACAGGAGATCAGCCTGGTCAACATGGTGAAACCACGTCTCTACTTAAAAAAAAAAAAAAAAAATTAGCCAGGCATGGTAGTGCATACCTGTGGTCCCAGCTACTTGAGAAGCTGAAGTAGGAGGATCACTTGAGCCTGAAAGAATTGAGGCTGCAATGAGCTGTTATCATGCCCTAGGTCCCTTGGGTTTCTAAGTTAGATACATGCAATCAGCATACCCAAATCCTTAGCCCTGCACTGTCAGACTATATTTAATATATCTAAGGCTCTAGACAGCAGTGAGAAAAAGCTTTGAGGTTGGAGCACCAATTAGGAAGGTGAGGAGACTAGGGCATAAAGAGGAAATCAGATCTGCTAGACAAGACATTACATAGGCTTAATAGGGACCTATTTTTGCTTCTGAGACATGATGTCTCTTGTGGTGAAGACCTGAACTAATTATCAAAATGGAGGGAAATATAATTTCTAGTATTTGGAAGCTGTCCACGATCCCATGGTTCTCTGTATAATTCATATGATTCTAAATATAAAACTACATTGAAAGTATTCTAATGCTTCAGGAAATTGAAAGTAATTTTGAAAACCTTTCTCCTTTCTAGTTGCAGAAGTCTCAGAAGTTTTTATTTTGAGAATTGACACTTTACCTTCCCGTGGTAAGTTCTGGGTGCTCAGTTCTTAGTGAGTACCAGAAGGAAGTGGGCAGATTAAAATAAAATACTGCTTATGGCTATTGAGGTTATCATGGTAGAGCACAAAGAAACGAGGCAAAGCTGGATTAGCAGGCGTGTGTTCGAAGCTCTGCCCTGCTGGGGGTGGGGGTGAGGAGATGAGAAGCAGGTGATGTTTCAAAGCCCCATCTGGCCCTAAGAGCCTTTGATTCCCCAGGCAAATATCCAACAAGCTGTCCAGGCCACCTTTCACAGAACTTCAGAGTAACACCAGAAAGTGGGGATTCCAGGAGAGAGAGGCTTCAGGGCCATGATGAGGTTATGGAACTGTTCTCTTAGAGAAGATTTGGAAATACTTCAGAGCCATCACCTGGTGGGAAGCTTGGCATAAACAGCAACTCATAGATATGGAGATGGCTGCTCAGGCATTACGATATTCAGAGTGGTCCTGGGCTGGCTTATTATAAAGAAGACCTGTCCTTGTTTTCCCAAAGGATGGCTAGAAAAAGCAAGGGAATAAATGAGTTAATGAATATGGAATTAATAAAGCATTTTTTCCTGGAGGCAGAGAAATGGAACGGTTGACTACTGAAAGCCAGCCTTCAGAATCTGTGCTATGTCAGATCAGGAATAGTCATTGAAATAGTCATTGGAGCAATGTCTGAGGGATGCAGAAACCTGGTGTCACAGGAAGCATTGCCTCAGACTCTGTCTTCCTCTTTATTAGGCCTTGAAGAGGAAGGAGAGGAAGGACAGCAGGGTTACCTCACCAGTCCAGCTCCAGCACCCCCTCACCCCCTTCCCAGGTACCTGTCTGACTGCAGCAGGAGATTCTAGCACAGAGGGTGCCAGCAAGCAGGGGTGCCCAGAGGGTTTCTCATTTGAAAGGTGTTTACTGTTAGGGGAGAGTGGGAGGACAGACGGGACAGGCACGGGTGGGCAGAGCATAGGTACTAGGAATCTGCAAACCACAGACAAGAAGAAAGTGAAAGTAAAGACCTGAGGGTTTGCTGTAAGCTGCATTAGCAGGAGGAGCACTGGGCCTGTGGGAGTGGACACGTGTGTCTCCTTCCAGGGGCTTCTGCCACAGCCTCAGCCCCAGACATCTCAAGGCTCAGTATGTGTGTCTGTCTGCCAGTGCACCCCAGGGGGGCCTCACAGTGAGGCTTCCTCTGCCTGGGTTCCTCCTGGCATGGGCTTCAGTTTTCCCCTCAACCCTGCAGCCTACCAGAAGACACAAGCCAAAGCTGGTAGGGACCTCCACTCTGGGTACTGTCCCTGCCCATCCCCTCTGGCAGTTGCTTTCCTAATTGAAGGGTACAGGTGAAGTGCTCAGGATGTTCTTGGTGGGCGTATTTCCTCCGGGGGGGGTGGCATAAAAACCACAGCCTTTTAGAAGCCTCTGTTTCTTTCCTTGACTGGCACTTTAAAAGGTGTGTGCTCTACTACCCTTATCAGTAGGAGAGGGAGGCTCTGTGATCCTCCTTTATTCTCCCATCTTTCCACCGGGGTCTAATACATTTAACAAGCCTATGAAAAGGCTGCCTACCTCATGCCATTTTCTGACTGTTATTCAAAGTGAAGGACATCTGAAAAAAGGTATTACATTACCTACAGCCTGGGGCGGAGGGGGGAGGGAATAATTTAGTACAAGGAATTAGGAGGCATTTCTTCTCTTTTGACAGGCTGAAAGGCTTCCTAGGTGAGGAGAGATTTCCATCGCTGGTTGAAGGAAGGGAAAAGGCTGAGTGGGAGGTGCAAGGGCTGCTAATCTGAAAATTACCGGAATTTCCTCAATTTCCAGTCTTCAGAAAATGCCTGCTGCACAAGGAGAGGGTGGTGAGAATCCAGTGAGATAATCCTCATGGAAGGGTTTGGAGAACCTTCGAATACTTCCCCGGAGTGAGGGGCAATGACAATTCGAGTCCACGATTAGAAAAAAAAAAAAAATGGCCCTTATCACTAGAAGAATTCACAAAGAGGCTGGGTGAGCCTGTGCCAGGGTGATGAGTGGGAGAACCCACTCTGGGTGGGGGATGGACCAGCTGGCCCGTAAGGCCTGTCTCCCCCTGGCCCCTAAGGCCTGTCTCCCAACTTCCATGTGCCCTTGTCACAGGGACCCTGATAAAAGCTCCCACTGTGCCTGGGTTTCTGTTGTGCTCAGAGGAGGGAAGAAACAATGAGCTCAGCTTGGCCAGAGGACAGGGCTCATTTTGCTCTGTCACTTGCAGAGGCCTCTCCCCAAGCAGCAAACTACCAGGCAGGAGCAGCCACATTGTCTGTGTGGCCCAGTACAAAATGAAAATGCAACTCCCTGTTCAAAGAGCATTACGAATTTCAAGTTGGCAACAGAAGAGCAGTAAAACACAAGCACCTCATGAAGCCTGCCCTGTCACGAGGACCATGAAGGAGGAAATGAGGAATGGGAAGGAGCCAGGCCCGTGGAGGTGGTCCATGTCCCCTCATTGTCCCTCCTGCCAAGGCACTGCACAGGATGCTCTTAGAGAGGAGGAGATGAGAGTAGCAAACTGTAGGGTGTGGAAGCTTAGCCCGCCAAGGCATCCCAGAATTGTGCCCTGAAGTCGAGGAGACCAGGCATCCACCGACCATCCCCTGGTGATTAAGGGCTGCCCCTGCAGTGGGTGGAAAAGGCTCCCGTGGCACCAGAGAAGCCACAAGGCCCAAAGCTGAAAGGCTCAAGGTGTGGGAAAGATGATGCCCGGGGCGAGCGTGAGTCCCATGGAGCAGGAGCCACCTGCCACAGGACAGCTGAGCACTGAGCCAAGGGAACATGGCCAGGGGCACCTAAGACATCTGCACAGGGGCCACCAGACTTCCTGAGGAACCAACCTCCCAGGGCAGCATGGGGTGGGACCGCAAGGTCTGTGGACAAAATAACATTTGCACTGCTCTGTGAATTAACGTGACCTTCCTTGCCTCAATGACTGCAATTGTCCATTATTTGAGCTGCCCCCTTTCCTACCCACTGTGCAGTCACACCACGGAACCAAAACCAGGTTGCACAGGAAAGCAGGACAAAGGGGTCGGATCAGTCAGCTAGTGTTTGCAGAATGTGTCTACTGGGTGGACTGGAAAGGGGGCTGGGGATGGGACACAAGCTCTGCCACCATTACAGTCACATGTTGACATGTGCAGATGGCATCACAGATTAACTGTGGCGGTGCTGAAGTGCTTCGCGGCAAGGGTTAATCCCTAGGGGCTGCCTAGAGAGGGAGGCGCAAAGCTCAGGGAAGAGTTCAGAGCACATTTCACTGCTGGCAGAAGGATGCTGGAGACTCGCGCTGCCTCCATCCTCAGTCACCCGGGCAGCAGCTCGCCTCCAGGCTTCACCTGGCTGCCCGCCTGATCCAGCAGGCCAGCTCAGATCCCCTTGCCAAGTCCTTCCCTCCCCAAGGCCCTCTTTCTTGCCCACATTTCCTGGAAACCACTTTCTAGGCCCTTGTTGACTCCCACATTGTTCTGAGAAATGGGTCGGCAGGTTGCCCAGGCCAGAACCCCTGAACCTTCGAGCAGAGAAGCAAGTTGATCATTGTTATTAATCAATCTTCGACGGGGAAGGATCCAGGCATAGGAAACAGGAATCTTAGGGCAATACCCCAGCTCAGCTCCTTTCTAGCCAGATAGGTCACATTTCCTCAGTTTCCACATCTTGGGACAATAATCAGCTGCTGTGAGATCAAATGAAATCACACCTGAGAATGGAATTTTCTAACCAATGGAGTTTTATGTAAACATAACATTTAATAACCACCGTTTGCTGCTGTTGTGCCTTCTCCTACGCTCTCCCGTGGCACACACAGTGGGCTTTGTTATGTGGAACTTGTTATCTTGGCAAGCTCCCATTGGTCTGGAGTCTAAACTGGACACTCAGGCCGGTTGTGGGTTGTCTCAGGCCCGCAGGGGCACTTGATCCTGCTTCAGAGCCAGGAATGCACAGATCCAGCTCTTCGGAGCTCCGTGGCCTTGGGCAAACTCCTTGATTTTCTGTGGCCTCTTGTGACTCATCTTGTGACTCATCTGACAAAGGAGGTTATTATGCCTGCCCTGTCTGCCTGCTGGGTTCCCAGAAGGGTCATGTTAGATGTGAATGGTTCTACACAGGGGCACGCTAGATGGTCAAGTGCTGCGGAGATGCAGCGGGTAATGATTGGGGGAAAAAGCTTTCTACCTTGATTCCACAGCACACATCCTTTCATCAGGCCTAATGTGGACCGGGAGGCAGAGACAAGATCCGGAAACATTTTCTGGAACATCTGACCGTCAGTGCACAAAATAAATACTCACCCTCTTCCTAGGCAGGAGTACGTTAGTCCTTACCATTATGGTGGTGGTTATCATGGGCCAGAACAAAGAAAAGGGGAGGGGATAGAGTGGAATTTGAGTCCCAGGAAAGGAAGAAGAAAGTGTCAAGAAGTCTTGGGAGGACTGGCAGAAACCCAAAGGGAGGAGCCAGACAGCAGGGGATTGGGGAGGTGGCCAGATGAAGGAGATGGCATGTTCGTTCCTGCACCACCCAAGAAGCTCCTAGAGGGAAGGAGGGAAAGCTGAGAAAGCGTAAAGCAAGGGCGAGCAGTCTTTCCCAAGCCTGAGGCCACTGACCCCCTGGCACATGCAGGCTTGTATGAATGGGCAGCAGAGAGACAAAGGAAGGAGGGAAGACATAGGTTGCCTGGAAGGAGCCAAACAACCATGGTGGTGGTCTGAAATGGTATATAATTGTGTGAAGGGACAAGGAGGGCAGTGGCCCTGTGGTCTCTTTGGGAGCAGGAGCTTCCTGCACAGGCATCGCCAATAATTGGGAGTGTAAAGGAGCCTGGACTTTATTCTTTTATTCTTCCTTCTCCCCTTCCTTTCAGTCAATATGTACTGAGTACTTACTGCATGTTAGGCACTGTGCCAGGTGCTGGGCATTCGGCAGGGAGCAAAACAGACAAGGTCTCCTGGAGCGTGTATTCTATAAATGGACCTAGGCTGTTCAAGCTCGTGTTGTTCAAGAGTCAACTGTGTATACCGCTGATTCATTTGTAGTGAACTCATGGCCAAGAGCACTAACTCACACCTGAACGAAGCTTATCTAACATACACATTTTATCTGTCAGGCCTGTCACTGCTTCCTTGCACTCAGAAACACGAGACAGCAAAACAGCTGAATAAAATACAGTTGACCCTCCTCCTTCACAGATTTCATTTTTGCAAATATGCCCACTCAATGAAACTTACTTGAAACACCAAAATCAATATTCATAGACTATCGGAGTCATTTGCAGAAGTGCAGAGAAGCAGCAGTTTTGAGTTGCTCGAGACCTTTTTGTTTCTGCTATCATATCATAAACAAGCATCCTTTTCACGGTCTGTTTGATGCTGCAGTTTTTTTGCGTTGTTGTGTTTTTATTTGGTGAGTTCGCTATTTAAAAAGGCCCCCAAGCTTAGTGCTGAAGTGCTGTCTCGTGTTTCTGAGTGCAAGGAAGCAGTGACAGGCCTGACAGAGAAAATACGTATGTTAGATAAGCTTCGTTCAGGTGTGAGTTAGTGCTCTTGGCCGTGAGTTCACTACAAATGAATCAGCGGTATACACAGTTGACTCTTGAACAACACGAGTTTGAACAGCATAGGTCCATTTATATGCAAACTTTTTTCAATAAAAGTCACACCAAGTGTGCCTGCCTCTCCTGCTGCCCCTTCCACCTCCACCTCTTCCACCGCTGAGGCAGCAAGACCAACCCCTCCTCTTCCTCCTCCTCCTCAGCCTACTCAAGGTGAAGACAAGGATGAAGCCTTTTATGATGATCACTGCTACTTAATGAATAGTAAATACGTTTTCTCTTCCTTATGATCTTCTTAATATAATAACATTTTCTTTCCTCTAGCTTACTTTACTATAATAAGAATACAGTATATATAATACATATATATAACATATGTGAATCAACTGTTCATGTTACCAGTAAGGCTTCCAACTAACAGTGGGCGATTAGTAATTTAAGTTTTGGGGAGTCAAAAATTCTACATGGATTTTGACATGCACAGTGGGGGTTAGTACCCCTAACTCCCTCATTGTTCAAGGGTCAGCTGTATTAACTAAGGTGTCTTTAAGCAGAAACACACATAAAACAAGGTTATATATTGCTTGAAGGATGGAAATGTTGTAGCCAGTGGCTTGCAAAAACCTAACCTCCATTTCCCCAGTAGTTCAGTACTCACTAGCTCAGTGTTCCTGGTGACTTTATAAAGCATAGCTACGCCAAATAATGAGGAAGGACAGTAATTTTATTTATAAGTCTGATAAAGAAGATCAAATGGGGATAGATTAGAGTATGATTGGAAGGGGGCTCGTGATCCAGGAGGCTCTTTGGGGAGGTGACAATTGAGCTAAGACTGGGATGACAAGAAGCAGGCAGCCATGTGAGGACCTTTGCAGAGAATTCCAGGAGATGGGAACAGCAGGGGCACCAGCCCTGGGGTGGGAAAGCTATGGTGGGCATGGCCGGGGCAGATTGAGAACCCGGCTGGACAGTGGAGCAACTGGGAGAGGAAAGCATCACACAAGAGGAGGCAGAGAGTCAGGTGCAGTGGCTCACGCCTGTGATCCTAGCATGTTGGGAGGCCAAGGCAGGCGGATCACCTGAGGCCAGGAGTTTGAGACCAGCCTGGCCAACACAGTGAAACCCTGTCTCTACTAAAAAAAAAAAATAGATAGATAGATAGATAGATAGATAGATAGATAGATCGACAGACAGATAGATAGACATAGACATAGATATATAGATATATACACACACACACACAAATCAGCCGGGCATGATGATGCATGTCTGTAATCCCAGCTACTTGGGAGGCTGAGGCAGGAGAATCGCTTGAACCTGGGAGGCAGAGGTTGCAGTGAGCTGAGATGGCGCCACTGCACTCCAGCCTGGGCAACAGAGTGAGACTCCCTCTCAAAAGAATAAAAATAAATAAATAAAAGAGGAGGCTGAGAGAAGGCCCCTGGGGGCCACATGAGGACTGTGGCTTTGATTCTTAGTCCCATGAAAGCCACTGGAAAGTTTTCAGCGGAACAACAAAACTGATCTATGGTGTTCACAGATGCCCGGCTGCTGTGTGGGGAATGAGCCAGAGAGACCAGGCTGGAAGTGGAGGTCCCGTTGGGAGGTGACTGCACTATCCAGGCTTGAGACGGCATAGCCTCCATCAAGACTGTGGCACTGCAGACAGATTCAGGTCTATTCTGGAGGAAGAGTTAAGCTTGATTTGCTGATGAATTAAATGTAGAAAGTGAAAGACAGGAATTAAGATGACTCCTGGGTTTTGAGCTGAAATAGCGGGATGGATTGTGTTGCCATTTGCTGAGATGGGGATGACTAGGGCAGGACAATTATGAGCATGTTAAGTTTCAGACACTTGCTAAATATCTAAGGACACGTGAGTGATTGAATACATGAATCAAGCTCAGGATGTGTCGGAATTGGAGAGAGAAATTGAGAAGCGATTAAACTGGATGAGGTCCCTGAGGGTTGGTGGGCAGTTGGGAACCTCTGCAGGATTCAGACAGAAGTGGGTTGTGGCAAGAGAGGCTGAGTGTGCAGACAGGGTCCACACAGGTGGGAGTACAGGCTGAGAGGCAGCTGATGTTTCTGGTTGTGAGAGTGGTGAAAGGGGATCTGAGAAATGTGGAATCTCAGGGCTTGGAAACTGAGGAGGCACCCCCTGCAGCCCTGTTCTGTAGACGCTGGCGGGAACCCAGCCTCCCTGTGAGTAACAGGATCTACCATCCAGCCTGGGGCCCATCCACAGCTCCTCCACACCCTCATTCTGTCCCACCTGACATTAAGCACCTGAGCTGGCTTATAGCTGGCTCGTATTTCTAACCAGCTCATTTCCCTATGTAAAAGATTTTTTGCTACTGGGCTAGACATCCAGTGAGAGG